TCAGCTGGCTGGGGAATTCTGGGAGTTGAAGTGCACCCATCTTCAAGTTGCCAAGGTTGAGAAACCCTGCTCTAGGCTCGTGCAGGATATTTTCCTCCTGTTATCACATTCAAAAGTAAGGATTGGTAGCAAAGTTTGGACGTGGCCACAACCAAGACTTCTGAGGGACTCAGATCTCTAGATTTCTCCCAAGCAGGAATAAAATGTAATAAAACGGAATTTGAAAATGACTCATGTACAGATGATGGACATGTTATTGCTAAAACGTATAAACTTTTGTTGAGATTTGAAACGGAGGGAGAGGAAGTGAAAGAATGTATGATAAAATGGGCCAAGAAGTTTGGTTATGATACTCAAACGGATCAATGGGAATACAGTCAAAAGGTCTGAAATCCACACTGTCTTACAATTTCAAAGAAAACTTCTTAAAAAGGATGTGCCGTTGGTATATGACGCCAGAGAAATTGGCTAAGATGTATAAAGGTACTTCTAATCATTGTTGGATGTGTGAAAAACATGAGGAGACATTTCATCATCCATGGTAGACTTGCAAAGAAGCAGAAAGATGTTGAACACAAATACATACGGTGATGCAGAGTTGTTTAAAAATTAATATTCAGATGAAACCGGAACTTTTGTTACTAGGACTTGTGGAGAGTCAACTAGAAAAGGCTCATGGATTGGTTTTATATACCGTAACTGCAGTGAGGCTATTATATGCCCAAAGGTGGAAGGCTACAGAAACACCAAAAATGGAGGAATGGATTGTGAAGATGGCAGAGTTTGCAGAAATGGCTAGATTGATCTGTTTGATTAAGGAGGGTACTACAACTACTTTTATAAAAGACTAGAAACCCTTGGTGGATTTTTTGCTGCAAATGGATAAAAATGAACGGGTGATTCCTGTATTTATTGATAGAAAAGGTTTGTTTATGGGAACTACAGTATGATATGCAATAGGGGAGGGTGGAGACAGCAATTACTGTGTTTGTGACTGCCGTAAAGAGATCGGAAGTCGCTTCTTTAGATGTCTTTTTGCTTTTTTTGTTATTCTTCACTTTTTCTTTTACCCTTTTACAATCTTTTTCTATTTCTTCTATGTTTCTGTAGCTTTTTTTTTTTAAGCCTTTGTAAACTCTTCTTTTAATATAAATTATTCATATAATTCTCCCAAGGTTCATCTAAACGCTATTCTCTATTTTGGCTTTCCCCAACACGGTACAGCCAAACACATCCAGAGCTCCGCTCCCTCCATCTCCACGCACTAAGCTCCTCTTGGGCGTGATGGGAGTTGTAGTCCAATTCATCCAGAGCTGCAAACTGACAGCAGCTGTAAACGTCCAAGCAAGCTACGTCCCTCGGTGGCGGTCAGACTAGAGATGGGGACAAGGACGGGCCGTGGGACCTTCTGCTTGGGAAGAGGCACTTTGGGCCAGATTGCCAATTGCCAGAAGGACCATTGTCCCCTGGGCCAGGCCAGGCCAGGCCAGGGACATCGCCCTTCAGAGACGACCACCGGCTTGGCAAGTGCAAGCCTAGTCAAACGCATTCGCAGCATGTCACCGGCAGCTGCTTTGGTTTTAAACTCAGTTAAGTTCCTTGGGTTTTTTGCCACACCAATCTGCACATGGGGAAAATATTTCCTGTCTTCCTCCTTGAAAAGGAAAGCGTTAATCTTCTACTTCAGGGTGCCCTGTGGTGAACAGCCATGTACCCATGTTCACCAACCGGGCACAGTAGTTTAAGGCGCTGCTTAGCCTCTAAGCTTCCCGAGACTGCACAAAGCCGCCGTGCGGTTGATTTGCTTCTGGCCCGGCACCTGGTACGATCCCAGCTGTTGTGGCTTGTAAATCAAAATATGTGGCTTATTTTATTGTCCAGTAAGCCACAGTTAAACCAACTGCAGCTTAGCATAACCCAGGCTTTCACCCTGGGTTGGTTCTTCTCCCTCTCAAGATTGCCTTCACGTGCTTGTTGTGAAAGCACAACTGGAGAGAAGCTGCCCCAAACCGTTTGGACAAAGGCCACAACTGAAACGGAAAAGGGGACCTTCTTCGCCAGGGGGACAATTCGACGACTGTACTTGTCATTCAGCCCACCGTCTTTCCCCCAGCAACATTTCTGCTCAACTTGGACACCGATCCCCCCAAATGCATTGACCGCTCCAGCTCGTGGAAAGTGGATTCAGGAGGAGAACGGAAAGAAAGACTCGGCAGATCCTGAGAAGGTGGGAGTCCCACCAGACAAGAGAGGCCTTGGCTTGGTGCACAGCTGTGGGATGCGGTTTGCCAAAACGCAGGTGTCGGTGGGATCCGAAAAGCAACAGCCAGCCTTGCCTTCCCTGAAGACTTCAAGAGTCTCTACAAGCCAGCTTTTTGGGACAAGCCAGGGTACGCCCCTCACTAGATTTCTTGGCTCATCTGAACGGGCTTCTTCCACCAGAATTAAACCCAGAGCAGGCGTCTTCTTCCGGCAGCAGCTCAGACTCTTTGGAGAATAACACGACTGTCTGGGAGGTTAGGATATGCCCCTTCCGTACGTGAAGGCTGCTGCCGGTAACCTGGCAACTATTTCTCCAGGAAGACTGAAGTCCTGCAAGCAGTTCTTTTCATCCTCCTTCCTCCTGTGGGCGTAGGACATCACTCAGCAGAGCAGAGCATTTATCAAGTCATTAGCCATGCATTAAGGCTCCGAAGAAAGCAGGCACATCTGCAATTAATCCCGCCAGGGCAGAGAAAGAGGAGGAGGAAGCGGAGTTCAAGGGAATCAGGCACCAGGCGGTGGGAAAGAGCTGCCTGCTGGTTCTACCTGAGGATTCAAAATGGCTTGAAAACCACAAGAGCGGAGATCACTCTCGTGCGAAGCCAAAACGGAGTGAAGCACAGGAAAGCGTAGGGCTATGTGCGAATCCAGACATGGGGGGGAGGACTAAGATCACGCTGGTCCCTCCTGATTTCCCCCCGCCACTGAACCTACTGAGCCCCCAACCCTCAATTAGGGTGTCTGGACCACCTGAACCTTCTACCCTGATGGAACGCCAAACTCTTGTGCCACCCAAATCTGTTGACTCGGTGACCCGTCCAAGGCACGCAAAGACAAAGACTCCTTCAGACTGAACTTGGCTCCTGGCAAATCCATAGTTGGCGAGTTCTGTCTCTTCTTCAACTTCCCAGGCCAGCCTCCTGCCGTGGGATCTCCAGGTGGTCTCCCATCCATATCCAACTCTGCTCCGCTTTCTCACCCTTCCCCTGCAGTCCCAGCAAAGCATCATGAAGGGGGGCATTCTGCGCCATTTTGGCCCCCATCTTTCCAAGGCAGTCCTTCACCAGGAGGTGCTTTTCAAGCCCCCAGAGACCCTGAGGGATTTCCAAGGACGGCTGCTGGAGGGTCATCCCAGACTCAGCCACATCTTTCTGGAGGATGCATTTACTTTTTCCGCCTCTTGCTTCCTCACCCCACGCACCCCTCTAGCAGCACCCTCCTGTTTTACGGAGCGGCTGAGACCCCCATCTGTTAGGCAGCACTCCCCCTTCACCGGCCCCTCGCCGGCAGATTTACAGCACCGACAGAAGCAGGGCGGTGGCCTCTTTGCGGCCCCTTTTGATCGAGGCGGTCAGCTCTGAGGTTGGGGGGCCAAAATGCTCCTCAAAGAGGAAATGTCAGCTGAGGGTCTGCCCTGAAAAACTCAAGGTTCAGGGAAGCCCTCGGGGGCCCTGAAAGGCTTCACGCCTCCGGAACGCTTTGCAGACCTTAAGATGCCCACTCAGCGTCGGCTTCCAGCCTTCCTTACAGCAACTCACATACACATTCAACAATGACTTTTTAAAAACAGTCACTAAGCAAGCCGTGAAGAAAAAATAAACTCCTTCCTTTTTATAATGGTGGCTTATTTACTCAGGGAGCATTCTTGGTGGGGAATAATGCAAAAAGTAAATTCTCCTTCAAATACGGGTATTCCCTGGGCTAAGAACGCCCGTTTTAAGGACGACCCATAGTTAAGAATGGAGCCTACTGCAGCAAAATTCAAGTTAAATACACAATGATGCGAGTTAAGTAGACAATGGTTCAAGTTCATTACACAATACTACTTACAGAGTATTATACAATAACACTGTTCTGGCTTACGTACAAATTCGACTTAAGGACAGACCTTGGGAATGGAACTTGTTCTCAAACTGGGGACTACCTGTAATGCTCAGTTCTGGCTGATTTCACAAACATGTCCAATTTTTTTCCCCCTGGGCAAGAATACAAGAATGGTTTGCCACTGCCTTCTTCCAGAAAGTTTTTTCCAACTTCCTGGTGTATCCTAAAAACTGGGGGTTTCCTTGTGGTCTCCCATCCAAAAGTCAGCCAAGCTTAGCTTTTTCAGTCAGTCAGCATTCTCAGCTGCTGTGATATCAAGGTAACAGAGAACAATTTTAATCCACTTGTGCCTGGAGTGTTTTATATTTTAACCCCCGGGCTGTGGTTTCACCTTTCTTACCCACCCTTAAAGAAAAAGCAGTTCAGAGCAATGCCTGGGTTCGCACAACTGATTGTTTTGTTTGATTTAGGCTTAGCATCTTGTGGGAACCTAACAGGGAAACATTCTGATGACTGGGACATGTCCTAGGTCAGTGTTTTTCAAACTTGGCAATTCGAAGATGTGTGGACTTCAACTCCCAGAATTCCCCAGCCAGCATGGCTGG